AAAATAATCTAAACGAGAGTTGAAGATCTCGTTAACAAGAGTCCGTCGATAAAGAGAACATCGAGAAAGGAGTCTGTATTTAGGATTTATGATTTCCACAACAAATTTAACAACCTAGCCTATGAAAAATATAAATATTTGATAAAGTGAGAATTAGTTGTTGAGATCTAAAGGAAAGTTGTAGATATCGTCGAGAGCTTTCCGGGTATATAAAGAGCTCGAAAAAGGAGCTCATGTGAATAAGTTACGCCATTTTGAAAATCTATAAAATCACGTGCATGATGATGTGGCACCCCGAGAGAGCACCACGTGGCATGGTTGGGGCAACCCCTTTCTTCCGAGACATAATGACGTGGCTTCATAAGATTGTAACACGTGGAACCATAGGAATGTGACACGTGGCACCTTCTAGAAGAGGCTTATGTGGATGATTCCAGATGCGACTCATGGCAGAAGAAGGATGGAGTCAACACACCATAGGACATGGCGCGTACCTATTGAAGCGCGACGTGCTTATGCCCAAAAGTGCCTACAAATAGCCTCTAAGTCTTCATTCTTCCCTCACACCCCCCATAAACTCTCCCCCTGATTCTTTGAGTTATAATCTCGAAAGTTCTTAGTGTTTATGGTACTTTGGTTAGCTTTGAGGTCCTTAAGTGCCCATCAACTAATAGCTATCAGGACAGAGTCCTTCTAGCGTATTTCCCATTTTCGCTAAAACCTCTATAAGTTAAGCTACACTCTTCTGCTTTCAGTGTAACTTATATTTATAGTCACCAGTCGTCATTATGAACCTATAAATAAGACTTATCAATAATTCCAAGTCAGAATGGTGATTGATCTACTTTCGGGAGAGGAGTCTAGAATGGTTACGTTGACTTGGTTGTTAGATTTCAAAAAAGCTATATGCCGAAATGATCCTGCCTCCCAACTGTCCTGCCTGCATAATCCTTATTTGATAGAACTATCAATATTCGTTGGGATTAATAATAAGTCTAACCCACATTGCCAGCTTTCCCTAGTATCTAATAAGTGGTAGTATTATACGTTAATACTCGTCGGGTATGTTACCGTCAGTTGGATCGTCAGTAGATTGTTGTTAGTTGTCAGAGAAAATGTCCAGGTGAGTTCATCTCACTATATTATATATTCTAGTATATATCTGTGTATGTTAGCATATAAGACTAGTAGTATAGAGCCCACAGTATAGTTTTCAGAGTCAGATATATAGTATCTATGTGCGTGATTGTTGATATGCTTATAAGTTATTGTGAATTAGTTAGGGGATGATGGCGGAACAACAAAGAGATCGGGAGCCTACATGCCCAAGTGTTAACGAAATGGCATGTAGGCCGTAAGTACACATTGACACGTGTTAACAAAATGACATGTAGTCCGTAAGTACACGTAGACTCGTATTGAAGACGAAATGGCATGTAGGCCGTAAGTGTAAGATACACATATTATTTGTATGCATGTATGTGTATTGTGGTATATGGTATATTTGGGGAACTCACTAAGCCTAGCGCTTAACTAGTTGTTATAAATGTTTTTCAGGAAACTCATTGACTCGTGAGAAGGGCAAGGCTTGATTGTACATCCGTGCATTCACAATCATGTTTCCACATAATGTAATAAATACTCTGATATATATTAATACTTTGAATAAATAAAAATGAAAAAATTTGGGTTGAAAATTAGGAACATTACAAGTTGGTATCAGAGCCCTCGTTTGAGAGAATTAGATGAACATTCGTGTAAATCCAGACTCATTCCGCGGATCTGAACATCTTAACAAATATTTTTAAGAAAAAAGAACTGTATTCAAAAGAAAAGAATGTGATGCATACAGTCAGCTAAAGCTTAGAAAGGAAAGTGGTTCCCAAACATATTATTGTATATGTTGATATATGAACTGTTAGAAATGCATGCTATTACGTAGGCTATGGATCTTTTCAGGAAGTGCATATTAGGATTACCTGATAATTAAGATGCCTTATAACCTAGGGAATTTCTTGTTATTTGTTGCTTAAAACCAATATTAATATTAAGCAGTTATTTGACAAGTATGTTAGGTTTCATGCTCCCAGAATTAAATAGTTTTAGATTGCCTGATTTGGTGCTATTGAGCAGCGCTCATCTGAGTCTAAGCGTTGTAGTGTCAGATCTTTCAGTCGACAGGCGGTTTAATTTTAGAGGCATGTAACCGTATTCGTCCAATAATTAGTTAATGTTATTAGAAGTTCTTCCTCGTTCGATAGTAATGTGGAGCAGAAGGAATCCTAGAAGACGAGTCTACGAAGTATAATATGTGCTTAATAAGACATATAATAAGACGTTGGTAGAAATGCAAAATCCTAATGGAGTATAGGAAAGAGAGTAATTAAACCCTTGAACATTGTATGTGTGAAAAATCATGTCTATAAGATAGTGTAGTGACTTAGAAACATTAAGACAATTCTTCGAATGAGTACGAGCAGGTATTGAAAGTAGTATAAGGGCTCATAACCCATTTAAAAAGAAACACGTGTTTTGTGTAGTACCCTAGGTGTACTCAAGCGTACGCTGGGCGTACTTGGATGGGGGTCAAACCCTAATTTTTAGGGTTTAAGCCATATTTAAACATCATTATCTTCTCAATACCTTTTCCCTCATTATCCTCCATTTCCCAAATCGTCCCTTGCAAACCCTAATCCATTGTGTGAGCATTTTTTTTGAGCTTAAGAGTGCATTTTTGGTGTTCTTGAAGGAAGAATAAGGAGGTGGAATCATCTTGGAGGCTCAAGGCATCTTGGATCCATAAGTGTTTCACCCTCAAGAATCCTTTGAAGGTATAAAGTTTGAAACTTGATAAGTTATTTGCTTAGATCTTGCTAGCCTAGAGTTGTGTTCATTTTTGGTCCCATAAGCTTGGTGTTCATGAGTATGGCTTACTCTAACCAGAAGAGCTGTCCTTTCAGACGATTTTAGGTGCTAGGAACCATAAAAATGTGATATTGGTCCCTCTATCCCTTCCATGCAAGAGTTATGATGTCTTAATGGAATATTAAGTTAAGGTTTTAGCTTTTGGACCTTTTCAAGCCATGGAAAGTCATAAAGGTGGAAACTTTATGACTTAGGATGATATTTTGGGGCTAGATCCAAATTCGGATGAAAAGTCTTTAAGGAATAAGCACTTAATAAGAATAATTGGATCCCGACGGAGTACGCTGGGTGTACCAAGAGGTACGTTGCGCGTATTGGGCTGAGGCCTCGTGGTTTGGAAGGATTGCGACTACGCTCAACGTAGTAGCCGAGTACGTGGGGCATACTCAACCTATTTTGACCTCATTTAACTTTGACTTTCTGACTTTGACCTTTGACCAAGGGTTTCATCAAGTTTGACTTAGGGGCATTTTGGTTATTTTGAGTCCTGGTTTGAGATTAGGTCACTGTTTGTTGCATAGGTGACCTGTAGAGTTGGCATTTGGAGCAACGTTCATTTCTACTATCTTTCAAACTGTAAGGTGAGTTTCCCTACTGTACTTGTGGACCGAAGACACCAATGTTAGATCTGTTTGATTATTTGTTTGCTGGTTATATGTTTATCTGTTGCATATGTCGACATAGTGTGGTTTGGGTTGAGGCATTGTTGCTTTGTATGGAGGCCAACAAACCTGGGAGCAAGCCAGACATAATTTGTGGGTCGGATAAGTAAGCGAGACTTATGTTGTGGGCTCAAGAGCAATCCAGACATGAGTCGTGGGCCAGAAAGGCAAGTCAGACTCATGATGTGGGCTCAAGGGTAATTCAGCTCGTTGGTTGTGGACCCAATATGCATGTTGTTATATGTTGTGTGGTAGTATTTTGGGAAACTCACTAAGCTTTGACTTACGATTTAATTGTGATGTTTCAGGTACTTCTGATAATCGGGGCAAAGCGAAGGCGTGATCGTATACATCCTTTAGTAACATGTTTTGGAGATTTTATGATACTCTGATTTTGGGATATTTATATTCGATGTTTGGTTTTTTACTTGGGTTTTGATTGGAAACAATGATTTTACCTTAATTGAAAAATGAAAAATTTTATCGTTATTTTTGGGATGTTCGCGTGAATTGAACTTGTCATGCGTTGGGACAATTTGTCCACACCCAATATGTCAATCAATGCTACCAAGCATCCCTGGAAAATCATGTTTAGCTTGATGCGCGACATACAACAGTTCGACATCACTTTTAGTCGGATGTCGCAAGTATATGCAACGGTAAATCTTTATAACATACTCACAAAAATGATATGTACATTCTCGACCCGTCATCTCAGAAATTTTCAAATACTCATATGATGCGTTTGCGGCTATGCCGAATGTCAATTGTCTAAGAATGGTCGTACATTTTTGTATTGTAGTAAACCACGTTTACCTCTCGCATCCCATTTCAATTGGACATACTCATAATTATTTTACAAATCTTTGTCTATACGTATGAATATATTTCTACTAATACGAAACTCAAAAGTATTATTTAAAAGAAACTCAAGAGTATATATATTTTTTCACATAAACTTCAATATAGGCATGTAATACAAAGTTCTAAAAGAACATTATTCAATTATTATTTTTTTTAACGATAATCTGATCTACTCTTAAACTATTCATAAGTTCATATGTTTTAGACGACATATGAATCTTCGACCTCAAAAAGAAAGAGCAACACCTGATATCCTTAAATTAGAAATCTTTTTAATACAACTAAATCAAATACCATATTATTATATACATATTCAACGTATACAAAGTTATTGAAATTAATATTTTTCCGAATTAACCAATAATATAATGATTCATGACTATCATGCCTTAATAATAATAGCTCTTTATTGTTTTTGGAAAACTAAAGGAAATTGTTGAAATTGGGATGACCAAAAAATTCAAACACGCCGGTCATTTCAGTTGGGAACATCGAGAACAGTCCCGTTATGTTGCATGCTTTGAAGTGGACGCTACAACATGACTTTCCCTCAATGCTTTAAACCCCCCCTCCTTATGGTACACACCCCGCACCCAACCAAACCCCTCCCCTTCCAGAGTCCAGACGCTTCTTCTCTTCCGACACCACCTAAAATCTAGGGTTTCCATTGCTTCTATCCCTTTAATTTTGTGTGGAAAATCCACCATTCCCTGTTTCTCATTCTCAAATCCTCCGCATTACTCCTCATTTCCCCTTGTTCAGACCTCTTTTAATCTTCGATTTAACAAAATCCGACATTTTCTCTGTTAATTTTGCATCTTCGGTCAACTATCGACTGGGACTTTCAATGGCGAAGACGAAACCTGGAAAGAAAGATTTGGATACCTACACAATCAAGGGCACAAACAAAGTTGTTCGACGTATATCATCTCTCTCTCTCTCTCTCTCTTGTTCTTATTCAGTGGGTAGATTTCTCTTCCGGTTTTGATTTTTCACTGTCATTGACTTGGTTGGTTGGTAGGGATCTTTCAAACAGATGTGTTAGAACATTTATTTGTTCAAAAGAAAGGGGATTCGGGATTGGGTGTATATATATCGCATGCGTTTGTTATCTAGGGTTAAAGTGTTGATTTTTGAAGCTTCGACTAGTATTGACGGCGATTTGACTTGTTTTCGCAGCTGGAGATTGTGTGTTAATGCGGCCATCTGATTCCGATAAGCCTCCATACGTTGCTCGAGTTGAAAAGCTTGAAGCGGATCACAGAAACAATGTGAAGGTTCGCGTTAGGTGGTATTATCGTCCTGAAGAGTCCATCGGAGGTCGAAGACAATTTCATGGCGTGAAAGAGCTTTTTCTTTCTGATCACTATGATATGCAGAGTGCTCATACGATTGAAGGGAAATGTATAGTTCACTCTTTCAAGAACTACACGAAGCTTGATAATGTTGGCACTGAAGACTACTTCTGTCGCTTTGAGTACAAGGCTGCTACCGGTGGTTTCACCCCTGATCGTGTTGCAGTGTGAGTCCTACATCTTGCTCTTAATTTTAACAACTTATCTAAGCTTTTTTTTATCTGTTAATGGTGCGAATTAGGGTTCTTTTTTGACATGAAGGTACTGCAAATGTGAAATGCCCTACAACCCTGATGACTTGATGGTTCAATGCGAAGGATGCAAGGACTGGTATGATAATCTTTTGTCTCAAAAGTATATAATTTTGGATAAAGAAGAAGAACGTATCCCATGCTTGAAAGTTGAAACCTTTGGGGTACCCTTAGGGCTAATAATGAATTTATAATCAAGGAGAATTCTACTTCTACTAATCTACTAAAGTACAAATATAATGATGATGTTATTGCCATAATAAAAAAAATGTTGCCATAAATCTTTAAGACGCAACTACCCATCTACATACATTAGCGATTTACTTTGTAAAAAAAAAGAAACAAAATATTCTCATAATCAGTTTCTATAATTAAACGTAATAAAACATTTAAAATGGTAGCTACTTGTATAAAGAAAGGAATCACATCGATTTCCATAAACCCATAAGCATACCACACACATACATATCGTATATATATATATATATATATATATATATATATATATATATATATATATATATATATATACAACATGTTGGATATTGGCTAATTATTTTGTATAAATAGGCTGTTGAAATCATCCCCACATATGTAAAGTTTTATTTTAATTTCTTCTGTAAATTGTGCAGGTTTCATCCTTCTTGCATGGGTATGACAATTGAAGAGGCTAAAAAATTGGACCAGTTTTTGTGCTCAGATTGTTCCTCTGATGATGATGCAAAAAGACCATCGAACCCTTTCCCAGTTTCACCATCTTCAGATGTCAAGGTGAAAATCCATTTTCCTCATAAGGGCAGAATCTGTTTAGTCGTTACTAAATAAGGAAACCCTCATTTACATGTCTTTCTTTATCAAGTAAAAAAGGAAACAAAGAAACCCTCATACATAGGCTACTAGATGATATTAAGTCCTCTATCTGTAAAGTGGCTGAATGGTTTTTGTCTAGACCGAATAAACTGTCTGAATGAGAGACAAAATGACCATTTTACCTTTACATTTCAAAAAAAAAAAATCACATTGTTTATCAATTTGAACGTGACAGAAAAGAAGATAATAATTAATAAAACCCTAAATAATGTTCCATATGTGTGTATATATATATTTTTTATTTTTTATAAATTTTTTTTGGTTATGTAGGTTGAGCCAAAGCGTAGAAAACGATGAGTGAGTGTGCAAAGAAGGAGGCAATTCTTGAGTAATATTGTTGTTGTGGGGAAAAAATTGTATAGTGCAAAGAAGAGAGTGAGTGTGCTTTGGTTGCACAATGAAATAAGCTTTTGTGTTATTTATTGTGTGAAATTTACCACCAATCTGTGTCTTTGCATATCAAGGTTAATGCTAGACTAGACTAGACTTTAAATTTATGAGACACAAAAAATCAAATTTAGTGTGAAAGATTAACCTTTCAACTCGGAAATGTTTTCATCTTTTTTTTCCTTTTACTTCTTGAGTAATTTGTTTTATGTGTGTATTATCTCTTTTACTTGTAGAAGCTTGCGGAAGTCGATATATCTAGGGACTAGTTGAGCCCAAGGACGCTAAGTTGTAAAGCAATTAGTTTTAAAAGACATTAAATACAAATTATATTGTAAACCCAAAGTGGCGAATAATTATATTATATGATCAATTAGTTTCAAGTGTCAAACCCAAAGAAGAAGACTCTTGTGGAACAACAAACTGAAATTAATATAAATCCAAAGTAGCCGACTCTTGTGGAATAATATACGTGTTTAGTTGTTGAGTGTTAATATGAATGTATATGATCGATGAGAGTGAGGTATGAGAGTTTCTTTTGGTAAGAGAATAGATAAAATTGATAATTTAATCTTATTTATTGTGATGTTTTTTTATATATTATTTTCCTTTGACCATTTTTGATGTCCGAGTGGATTTTTATTGAATTTTTTTACCGAGTTTGACCAAAGACATTTTTATAAATCCTACTTGGTCAAAGTCCATCGATGCTGATTTTTACGATTCTTGATTACAGAGCAAACAAATTCACCACAAGTTCTATTTTTTGATTCATAGACTTTTTTTCTACGAAGTTTAGGGTGCGTTTGGTTGTGGAAAATTGTTTTCATTTTCTAAGAAAATGTTTTCAGAAAATGGAGTTGAGTTTTCGCTTTCAATTTTCAATAAAAATTTTAGAAAACGCGTTTGGTTGAAACCGGGGGAGTTTTCATTTTCCATCTTAGAAATTTGGAAAACTGTAAAAATCACTTTTATAATTTACATACAATTTAGAAAACTGAAAATTTTCATTTTCTTGAAAAATTTTGAAAAACTGAACGAACTAAACACGTTTTCAAAAAAAATTTTCCACAACCAAACGCACCTTTAGTGTGTCACTTAGTCTTCAACTAAGATTTTGTTAGTTGAAAAGTTAGCTTTTTTTAGTTGAAAAGCTAGCTATTGTTGATAAGCTAGCTTATAAATTAATAATGTTTGATAAAAAATAGCTAATAAACTAATATTAGATATAATTAAGGGCATATCAAAAGCTAGTTTATAAGCTATAATAAAGTAATTTTATAGTTTCACCAAACAACAAATTACAATAAGCTAGTTTATAAGTTAGATTAGTTTTGCTAAAAAAAGAACTGTATAAATTAAGAGATGATATACAAATGATGATCATTCTTATCAATACAATATCTAAGAGTCTCCATGGTATAGGAGACAAAGTAATTAAATAGTCAACTTTCTAAAAAAATTTCTAAAAAATGTAAACCATGCCATTTGACCCACCCATGTTAATCTGTTTCAATGTTCATTTGGATGTCAACTGCGAAACACTAATAATATTTTAGATGTGTTAGGATTTGATTCAAATCATGGGTTTATGTGTGAAATTCCAAACCTCAATTATTATACTCCTATTTCTACCTGTATGTTTACAAGAAAGGTTTATGATCTTTCCTACTAGATTCTTCCAACATAATGCAAATATTTCTTGATGGGTTATGACATAATGTTTGACTTGACTTGATGGAGGTCTTGGGGTCCATACGGTTTGTAAAATTGACTTGACCCATTTGAAAAGTTTAGCCAAAACAGTCCGCTAGAGTCTTTTAGGACTAAAGACAAACTTTCACATGGACCATGGACCCCCTTTTGTTGGGTCGACTTGAGTGGCAATCTTGTGAATTGTGATGATCGAAGTTTCTATGATTTTGTATTGGTCCAAACCAAATTTTGGGATATATATATTGTTGATTTAGACTAGACAAACCATTTATTCTCTCTTGTTTGGTTGATAATTGATCCAAAAATGGCACTCATGTTATTAGGTTATGCAGTATGCATTAAAGAACTACTACACTTTCTTTTTGTGGGGTTGGTAAATTTGTGATGCAAGTCACGTAAAGTGGTTTAATTCGGTCATTTTTTTACTTTTTTTTGAAAAGGTTAGGACACCTGTATATCTAGATATTTTTTTATCATTTTTATTTGTTTTAAACTATGATGCAAATGAGTTGGATCATATTGAGATATTCAAGTTTGACGTTGACTAGTCTTAATACATTATTTAGATATATTATAGTAAATACACAAACAAATTTTAAATCAATTGCTAAGTAAATGGTATTATTTTAAAAGATAAATAATAAACGGTTTATATAATGGGGCAAAGCGGTAATTTCACTTGATATTTAATGTTTTTAAATAGATAATAATAAAAGCAAAAGACATACTACCAAACAAGTAAAGATACTTTTTTTGAGTTTGTGGAGTATTTGAAAGCTGAAACCGAACAAAACGAGACACACAAACACGCCCTATATCTCATGTAATTTAGTTTCCCTAGTCAACACGTCAATAAGTGAAATAGACACAAATCTTATACACTTTACCTAGTCTCCCTATATTTAATATTTTGGATTTTGGATAAATTACATTTTCGTCCCTATGGTTATATGTCCTGTTTTTTGGCCAGAAATATAACTTTGTCACGATTTTTAGTCCTTTGAGTTGTTCAACATAACACTTCGAGCATTAAATTCACATAAATAATTGTTTTGCTCCTATCTCCTCCATAAACCCTAATTCAAATTGGCCATTTCTATGAAGAGAGTTTGTGATTGAAAGTTGGAGGTATGTTGTAACAGAGGATGAAGAAGATATGGGCAAAATTCACATAAAAAATCACCCCAATTAATTTTTTTATGTTAGATTTGTGAGTTTGTGGTTCAATTTGGGTGTTGGTTTTGATTGGGTGTTAGAGGTATGTTGTAATAGATTGTTGCATCTATTACATATATCATATAAGCTAGTTTGATGCTAGATACGAAGAATAAGAAGGTTAACAGGGTCATGTCTCAAACCTAAACGATTTTGGAGGACCGAAGCTTGTTACTAAATTGACATCCAACACTTAGGCCATGTTGAAAATCTGACATTGATTGTGTCGTGTCCAGTTCAGGCGGATATGATAAACCTTTTCCAACTAAGAAGATCAGTCGAGCACCCGAGTACAACTTAGTTAAATGCTACCCAAAAAGAGAAAGAGACACGCAACCCATATCCATCATCCAAAATATATAGTGTAACACCCGATTTTTGGGTTTTAGAATTTTTGGTTTAAATAGAAAAAATTATTTAAATAAACAAAACAAATAAAAGTTGAAGTTAAATGATGAGTTAGTAATTATAGCGATGGTTGATATTAAATTTGATGGAACAAAAATATTATTGGAAAAATTGGTGAAAAAGGACTAGAAGTGTCAAATAGACGAAAGTTGGACTTTGACCAGCAAGTTGACCAAGTTGAGAGAGTGTGAGCAATTTTGTTATAAGTCACGGTGGGGAAGGAAGGGCTGGTAACTTTGCAAGTTAGAGTTACATTTATAGGAGTTGGGTCTGATATAGACAAACATGCACTCTTAGCAAATAAGATGTTTCCCATTTCACTCATTTCTTCATATCATGATTTTGAGTAGTTGGGAAATCTCCCCATGGATACTTCATACCTCCGACTGTGTTTTGAAGCAATAGATGACGATATAGTGAAGAATCATGCCTTTCGTCATCAATTTATAGATCAAAGAGCAATATCTCAACATAAGATGAGAGGAGGATGAGGGAATGACAAATTTGAGTTCCAAAAAGGAGCTTTAGAGTTGGATTTTGAAGTTCAAGTGAGAGATTGAATTAATTAACAAGGATTGGGATCATTTGAGGTATAGTTCTTGTTGGATTAGGTGTCTAAGCCAAGTCTTTTTTAGTTGTCCTCAAACCTAGTAAAAGACTTAAATGCTATTTAGAGAGAGAGAAAGAGAGAGAGAGAGAGAGAGAGAGAGAGAGAGACTAATTTCTTAATTTAATATATGATTAATAAATTAAATTAAAAATCAAAATAAATAATTTATTAATGTATTATGAGAATAATATATTAATTATAAATTGTATTGTTTAATTATAAATTAATTAGAAATTAATTGGAATTAATTTTGTGATTAATTGGAATAATTAAAAGTGGAAGGACTAAAGGTGATAATGTTCAAAAGACTGAGCATCGACCAATTCTAGAACCTCCTAAGAGGGTGGACAAATTCTAAAAGAGGTTCTAGGGTTTCCTTGGGCATTAAGGAGCCTTGGATACCTTAGGGAGAAAGAAAAGGGATAATGGTTTATCTTAGGAAACGACCTTATCCAATACCTTCCTAGTCACCTATATACACCCTCCTTAGGGTTCATATTTTCGATCATCATAATTCCAAAAGGAATTCCAAAAATTCTCTCCCTTCTCCTCTCTCCTCTTTAGCCTCCAACTTGCTAGGGTTTGGGTATGAACCATCAGAGACACGAGATTTCTGGTGCTAGCTTCCAAGTGACTACAAGAAGGATTTTATTTGATTATCTACTAGTATAATCAAAAGGTATGTTTTTCTATACCCTTTTATTATTTTCGAAAATACTAGGGTTCCAATAGGGTTCTTGATATTCAATTGGTTATTGCATTAAATACTGAAAACATAGATCCTTAGGGTGTATGCGAACTTAGGGTTTATGTTTTTCCACCAAAAATCAGATTTTTTGTAACATAAACCCATCAGTTCTCTCCTTGTAGACTTCATTTTCGAGTTAGGATTTTGAGTGAGATTTCGAAGTCAAATTTAGCAAGTTTTGATGCTTTGGTTTTTGTTTTCTAACCCTTACCGAGTGTTTTATATTATTCTAAGCTCAATTCTATCATTCACTTGATGGTTTTTATGTTTGGGTAAAATCTTGCCATGAACCCTAAAATCTCAAATTGGGATTATGATGTTGTTAAGTTATTTTGGATTATATTCTACGATCATAAATGAGATTTTATTCCAATATATCCATTATGGATGCATAAACTCATGAATAAGAGAATCAAACCTGGAATTGAGAATTCAACGGTTAAATAATGAGATTCTACTT